TGGCTTATAATTTATTTTATCAAAAAAGGTATTTATATTGTTTTTCCCTTTTGAAACAGATGTTCAGTTATGCTAAAGTCTTTGATTGCACTTCAAGTCTAAAGTTTACATTTTAATTGTTTGGCACTGACCTTTCCTCATTGATGTTTTACTTAGGCCTAGTTATGTTTTACTCTCCTTTCCGTTTATTGATGTTACATCACTGCTAGTGCTACCTAAAACAGAAAGTACATTTTTATACTGAGAAACTTTGCCTTGAATATTTTATTTTATTTTATTCAGCAAGAGAGTGCACTTTACCTGGTGAAGAAACCAGTGTTAACGTTTGTTGTGTAGGGTGTAGGCCTATACTTGAACACTGAGGAAGCCATATCAAAATTCCTGTTGAATTGTTCATTCAGGGATTCATTGCAGAATTAAAACCAGCTTGAAATGGTATTTTGGTCTGTTACTCCTTTTTATTTTAGTTTTTGTTACCTTGTAGGTGGTTGTACTGTTAAGTAACTTGAAAAATAAGCATAATAACCGACATGAAAACATATCGTGATAAATATCGTCTGTCGCGATACTGCTCGAAAAATATTGTGATATTATATTTTTCAATATCGCCCACCCCTACAGTGAGTATTATATTACTACCAGGAATCAGGTAGTATATGCATAAATAAAAGGTAACAATGGAACAATACATGTTGAACATTTCTTCTTTTCTGTGTGAGTAGAGGGGGGTGTACCTTGGGGCTGGTCTGAGGCCTCTGCACTCTCTCTGGGCAGCTTCTCCACCAGGAACATGAGCAGGGAGCGGATCTCCGGCTCATTACTGTACAGAAACGTCTGGTAGCCGATCTCTCCTTTGTAACCAACGTCCTGGAAAACAACAGCTTGACATGTTACTGTACTCAAACTGACACATTAATAACACACTGTTGGGTTTTTCTAAACACTATTTTCAGATGGTATTGATGGATTTAACAAAGACAATCTGACTTCAATGTCCACATACAGGCTTTTTTCAGGGCTTTCAAAAATAGTTTTACATTTCATGGTCAGCTTCTGTAGATGTTGGTGTCAGTGGTCATTTATAACTGAGCCAATTCCATGTAATGACAGAGACCATATGTTTGACTGTAAGCCCCTGAACAACTTAGTATGTGGAATTTGAGATAGTTCATAAGAGATTTCTTTGGTCAAGAATAGACACATTCTTGTCTTAAGATGCAGGCTCTCACTGTCATTAGGTGAGTTGAACCCTATTATTTGTAAGCACTAAACAGCTACATGAAAATGGTTATAAATAATAACAGAGTGGTCTCACCTGACAGGCCTGTGCCAGGCTCATGCCCACTCTGAAGCGGGCAGACATGCCGGGGGGCAAGGAGGTGGGCAGCGCGCCCCCAAGACCGGGGTCGATCACCCGGACACATCTGACCACCGCCTCCACTATGAGCTCACTGCTGAACTGTCTGACGCTGCCTGTCTCCTGACTCACCTCCCTGTGCCAAACACATGATCAAAATGTTAATATGGAAATAAAAAGATAAAAGAGAGGTCTTATCTTTGGTCTACCCATGGCAGTAGCACATGACTTGATGATGTCATTTACTCTGTATCATTTGATTTAGAGTTTGTTCACTTAATCTGCCAAGCTTAATACAAACTGGAATGATCAATCAAAGGCTTTTACTTTATTAGAACATCACAGCTTAGTTTTGAGGAATTCTGAAATATTGGCAAGATGTTTTTATTCTACAGTGAGTAGCATATGTAAGAAACCGGAGGCCATAGTTAGTGAAGTCTCTGTTGCTGTCTGTGTCCTCAGTCACCTCCCTGTGGGACACAGTCCAACCTCACAGCCTCAGGTCTGATCATGTGATGGGCTGACTTAGCTTAGTTTCCTCATAGCATGTTGCCAATCACCACATTCACCATTGTACTGTCAACATTCCTTGTCCTTTGAACACCTAAGGTTGGCATAGTATACTATGTTAATTAAATCATTATACTGTGGATACTTACGTGCCAACTTGTTTGAGGGCGTGAATCAAAATCTTGTCAACTTCTTCCATCGCTGTAGTATTTCCGTAGAGATACGAGCCGATAGACACCACTGTAGAAGATTACCTGATGCGAGTAAGTTATTTAATAACATCAAGTTAGCTAACATTAGTGTATGGTTCGTACGGATTAGAGGCTATAGAACTAGCTTCCATCTTCTGTTAGCTAACTTGGGAACTAGCTAGTTTTTAATTAGCGAAGCTGACACTACACACCTCCCTGATAAACGCCATTGTCATTTCCCGAGTGTCTGAAGCGCCTAGTTATAAACTAGCTTTTGTTATAATAAATATATTATAGTTCCCAACTATTAAACTGACATTTGTGTGTCTTGTTCAGAGCAAGCCCCCAGGAAGTGCGCCGGTCGGACTCTGAGGAAAATATTCGTTGTGGCCAAACGGCGGTACTACTTTTCCGTGTCAGTCGCTGGGCCCTGTGACACTAGAGGTTTCTCAACACTTTAAGCATGTTTGAGACGAGCTGCGCCTCGCCTCGAAAGTAGACGAGAATAGCCGATCGCAGCCGGGGGAGGTCTCAGAAAAGCTCGCCTGAAGTCGGACAGCTCGGAGTCGGTCCTTCTTCTTCTTCTTCTTCTTCTTCTTCTTCTTCTTCTCTCGGTTTTTTGGCGGGTTGCAAACAGCTTTAAAGTGCATACCGCCACCTCCGGAGTCGGCTTGACTCGGTTTGCATTTATAAAGAAAATGAATTTAATCGTTAATGTCAGATATGTTCTAAGTAAATACATTTGTTCCTGCTCAAGGTTAGATTCAACTTTATTGTTATTGCACATATTACAGGTACTGAGACTACGAAATGCAGTTTAGCTTCTATAACCAGGAGTGCAAAAAGCAGTAAAGTGAAAAGTAATGTACACAATCTACAGAATAAAATATAGAATGAATTGAATGAGGAGGGGTATCAATACACTAGATATACACAGCAGCCTGTGAGCAGTATTAACAGTGTGTATGAATACACGATATACACAGCAGCCTGTGAGCAGCATGAACAGTGTATGAATAGGCTAAGATATATAAAGTATAAAAACGGTGAGCAGTGCAAGTATAGTATACAAATATATAGATATTAATTTCATGATGATAAACATTGTGGAACAATGATGAAAAATGTGAATGGAAGTGGCGAGGTAAAACTGACACAAAACAACAACAAACTTTTGCCGAGCCAATTGGAGAGTTTCATCACCAGCACGTGGTAAAAACCACAAATGTGCGCTCAGCTCGAGATACCAGCGAGTCGTTTCCCATCAAGCATTTTGCTTCCGCAGCCCGTGGAGAGAAACTGCGCCGCCTCGCTGCGCCTCGCTCTCAAGTCTGCGGGAGTCTTTGTCCCGCGAGATTTCAACGTCTCATGTAAGCGAGCCTCCAGAGCAAGTCGGACAAATGACTAACCATCATGCAACGCACGAGCAAGACGTTCATCGAAATAGCGCAGGTCTGCGCAGGTCTCACTTGTCTCAAACAAGCCTAATCAGTCACACAGCCAGCCATGAACTTCCGGGGAACGATCCTCGTCTACATGAACCACGTAACGATAACCGTTTTTGGACTTCCGTTGTCGTAACTCTTCTATCTATATGGCGCTGNCTGAACTGCATTATGCTGCGTTCACAACGGACGCGATGCGAATATTCTCAAAGGAGTAAACACAGCTGACAGCCGCGGTGAAACTCCAGCGGTTGAGCCATGAGAATATTCGCATCGCGTCCGTTGTGAACGCAGCATAATGCAGTTCAGAAACCACTGTTCTGACGCATTTAAAGCAACTTCGAGATTTTAACAGTATCAGGGGCACGCAGGCCATGGTGGCCGTAGGACGTACAATTATTTGATCCCACCCTGGTGCACTCGCAGCACTCACAGCACTCACATTCTATGACTGAGTGACTTTCTGTATCACGATAGATATGATATCTCTGAAAAGGAATATCGTGGAGACCTAATATCGTCTCGACGATATATATCGTCATATCGCCCACCCCTAACTCACTGTTACACCTTATTGATGAGTCATCCGCAGCTGTCCTCTCTTCCTGCAGGTAAATCTGCGGTCCTGCAGAGAGCCATCGTTGCCGCAATCAGAGCTCAGCTCTCTGTGCCCTGGCTGCCTCCAAACTGCAGACTGCCTCTGCACAGTCAGACACAAGTAAAGTCCTCCTGTTGCATTCTGATCTCCAGAAAAGCTTTAATGCTTCGGGATGTGCAGCTAGCGAGTGCCAGCATACATCTGACCAGGGCCAGAGATGATTCCATTGTTTAATGAAATGTATCTGAGGTATTTGACATAAAGGACAACTAATATCCTTGATAACTTAAATCCTTTGTAACCTTCAAAACTAACCTATTAAGACCAGATGAAACTTATGTGTGTTTTTATTTTAAATATACAGGTACAAAAAAGACTTTGCATATTTATAGTACAACATAACATACAAAGGAAAGCTGTGATGGTTATATAATAAAGCTGGATTTGGATGGACCTCTTATCAGCAGATAATTATCAGGAAACAATTCTATTTTGGTCGGGACATTCTAGAGACGATTCAATGATTGTGTCTTGATTTGAACTTTCAGACTGAAACTTGTTATTTATCATTTGTTACCTGCCAAGAGACTCGTATTCTGATGTTTTTTTTTCCTGTTTAGAGTCCAGGAGCATTGCACAGCTTTCATGTCCAGCCTCTGAGCTTAGCACACTGTTCTCCTGGGAAGAAGCCGCTGAAAGGTATGCCTCCTGCTGCACACTTTAAAACACGCTGCAAAGTTTCACTTCATCTGGTTTCCTGTTTCATCAGTCCTTCAGAGTTCTGTTGTCATTGAGGTTGTCTCAGATTTCAATATTTACAGCAACTTCCCTCATTCATAATTATCCAAATGTGCCTGTTTTTGATCAAATTGTTAAGAACGTCTACAATTATAACATGAAGTAAATATATTATTTTCAGTTGGTGGAAAATAATAAAGCTGAATGAACTTAATGGGAGATAAAACATGTCTGTTTTTGTGGAATCTATGCAAGGAGAGGGTCAAATAGCCATGACCCCCCCAGATTTCTGCTGAAATCACTGTGTTTAGAAAGTAAGGAAGACATAAGTGTGTCTTCTGTCTCTTTAATTTCAGAGGTGAAGGACTACCATCGAGACATTCTTCCCCCTGTGACTGCACAGCCTTCCCATCATGCCTCAGTGGTGGCGTCCATATTGGAGCAGCATACAGCAGAGCTCAGCGCTGCTCAGGAGTGGGACAGCGAGTGGAACAGTCAGGGCCTCCTGTCCCGCCTCAAACCACAGGCAAACCCTCACACTGAGTCACCTTAAAGTCCTTATCTTACATTAAAAACTGTTTTTGGCAGTTGATTTCTGGGGGGTGTATGCAACAGATAGTCAATGTATGTTTCTTTATTTCATACTGAATAATATGTAAAAAAAGGAAAAATATTAGGTCCAATAAAAAAAACTTTGCTTCTGGAAGCAGGCCATTTCGTGACGTCACGTGTGGTTCCCGGCTGCCGCTGTCTGGATCCCTGCTGCCGTCCGGATCGACAGCCAATGCGCGCAGCCAGCGAGAGTTCACAACGAAAAATGGCGTCAAATATTGTTGATGTTTACGCATCAGAAAAAGCTAATAGCGCGGGTATTTGGCACAATTTGACAGAACAATTATTTGGTGTGGACGATGATAAACACTGATACACAAAGTTGACATGCGGCTATACCAGCAATGCTACACTGTGTGATGCTGGGACGGGCTGAACTCACCAGGATTCGCGGAACCACACGTGACG